CTCTCTCTCTCTCTCTCTCTCTCTCCCTCTCTCTTTCTCTCTATCTTCCTCGTGATTGCGCGCGGGCCCACTTTTTTCCCATCTCCCACTTGTTCTCGCTTCCTCTTTCGCTCATTGCTCCTCCCCCGCAGCAGCTTTCCGCGCGCGGTTCATTCCGACTCGTCCCTGCGGAAACGTTTCATCGACCGCCATTCTCGGCTTTTTTCCTTCGGGCTTTTTCTCGCTTCCTCAAACTTTTCTCGCGTGTCTAATATCAGGGTTATTTTTCAGCGGGCGAAAATCCCGCGTGAAAATTGCCGTGCTGCACGCATTAAATACCGCTGCTCGCGATCAATATAAGACATTTATAGCGACGCCGGCCGCGCTTAAAAGCGCCGCGGATAAAGAATAAAAGTTTTGAAGCGCGTATAATTGTATCCCATTTTAGCGCGACTTCGAACCTTATTTCATTACCGTCGGGAAAGTTTGTTTTCGTACCGTTTATGCGAAATATTATCATGTAATGTAGCAATTGCAATTTTTAGCTCTTTAGAAAATACACAGTTTAGTATGTTAATTTAAAATAGCAGGCGTCGCGAAATGTGGGCGCGCTGCTGCTCACTTTGCGAACAATGCCGTGACTTTCCGTGACGCAAGCATGTGCAAGTTAATTATCGCACTGTTGCAAAAATAAATATACGAGCTTTAGCGCCAGTTGCGTCAGAAATATACAACACATTTGAATTTTAAACGCACATTTAGCGCTAAATGTAGCCGTCTAATTCTCATTGCGTTGTCCCATTTCATCTGTTTACATTGCGCGTATGCGATTTTCATATTAAGCACATAAAGCATAGAATCCGGCACATTTAGTGTACGAGGGAATGGGAGAGCCGTAATTTTCAGGAGAAATTAGTATGTTTGACAAGAAATGTTGCATGATGCGTTTCCAAAGCGTGACCTTTCAATATCGCTTTGCAGTTCTCGTTACGAAGAGGGGCTCGCTAGGCGGTGCCTTTAAATGTATAAAAGCTGTAGTCACTTTGAAGAGACACGCACAGCTCGGATACACGTAATTCGTCGTAAACTCGCTTAATCGTGTTATTTGAGTCTCTCGCCGTAAACCGCGAGCGCGGGTACGCGTTGAAGATAATAAGGCGCTCGGCGACGGGACGAGACAAAGGAAATGTTAGACGCGATTGAAAACCGAGTGAAAATAAATTGTGTAAAATAGAAGAGAGGACGTGCGTGTGCGTTTCGCTCGAAATGATCCGGGAACGTGGTCGGACTTGTCGACGGCGCGTTACGAATATGAGTGACGCGTTTCTTCGGAAGGTCGTGCGTTCTTCTAAATTTTAAGCGAACGGAGAATAATGGTGCACCCTGAACAATCGCGGCTCTCGTATTCGTAATTCTCTGCAAACATGATTAATATTATTCGCGGCCGAGGAGTAGATAGGAAGCAGTGCCGGGCTGTGGGGCGACGTTGGAAAAGGAGAGGAAAGGATATCGGGGAACAATAGGGGAAAGCGCGAGAATAAGGAAAAACGGAGAGAGACACGATAAAGATAGAGAAAGATTAAGAGGAGGACTCTGAGAACGCGCAAACACAATGCGAGAGCGTTCGTTAGTTAACCGGCGCGGCGGTTGTTTCGGCAGCCGCTCGATCGCTGTTAAATCTAGACGAATAGAGCGCAGCAACGCGCTGCAGGGAGAGACATAGTTTCTAGTATGAGTAATTCTCTGTAAACTCGACTAATCGTGTTATTCGAGCCGCCCGAGTCGGGGAGCGGGCACGCGTAGTTATGTAATGGTAGCGTTAAAGCGTTAATAAGGATCGCGGCGGTGCTTGAGAACAGAACGAAGAAACGAGGAAAATACGCGCGGGCGGTGCGCGCCGAAGGTGGGAAGAGGTGGGAAGGAGGGATGAACGGTGGAAAACGGTGAAGGATGAAAGGGAGTGCGCGGGGCCGGGGGTGGGGGCGGTTGGTCTTTCGGTCGTGGTAGTCGCGGGAGTCGTGGTAATAAATGGGCAACACGAGCGCTTATAAGGGGTAGGTAATCTAAAGCTTTGGAGGCGGCGGCGGCGCAGCGGGGGCTGTCGAGAGAAAGGGCGGGCGAGGGGGGCGGGCGAGGTAAGGGTGAGAGGAGGAGGACGATGAAGAGGTAGGCTAAGCGGGAGTACGAGAGAGAACGGCGTGTGTGGGGTGAGAGGGTCTGGTTGGAGGAAAGCGTAGCGGAGGAAGGGGTGGATAAGGGTGGTTACGGGCGAGGGTGTGAGATAAGGTATAAGGTGGGTAAGATGGCGGACAATTTGCCGCTCGACTACTCTCGCCCGCACCCCTCCCTGGACGATTCCAACCTCCACCTCCTCCGACCCCCCTTCCGGTCTATGTACCGGGTAATAGATGTTCCTCCTTCACGACCAGCGCGGAGACGCTGAACGCGCGCGCAAAAGCGTGGCACCGTCCTCCTTTATCTCACAGGCCTCTTCCCTCGCTCTCGCCTTTCTCTCTCGCGGCAAGACAGAGGGTGACGAGGGAACGGGCACCGGGCGGGGGCGCATGAACGTGCGTGACGGTGAGAATTGCGCGTGCACGTGAGAGCCACGTACATATATACGTATACGGGCGAGAGAGAGTTGCGGCCGCGTTTCACCTACACGGAAAACTGCCGCTCTGACGGAGCACAATCGTCGGTGGGTACGTAGGTATTTAAACGTTCTCCACACACAGTCACCCGCGCTGCGCCGCGCCGCGCCGCGCCGCACCGCTGTCGCGCTATCCGACCCTATCCCCCGCCACCCCCTCACTTTCGCCCCTTCTTCCCGTCCGTCCCCCGAGCCGTTTCCGTCGGCGTCCCCTAGTCGGCAGACCGCACCAGCGTGCTCTCTCTTAGCATTCCATCCGCCATCTTCTCACTTAATAAAATAATTACCCCGGGCCAATTAAGCGTTCCCCTCCACGCCGTTCGCTCGTTCCTTTATGTGGGACCCCGTGCGCGTTCTCCATGGACGATGCGCGGCCTTTGCCGATATAATAATGCGCCATGTTATTCCAGCGTTTATTCGTTTTCGCGCATTGCGCGACCAAACTTCCAAATCTTAAGGTATGTCGACTAATTGGCACGTTATGTCTATGCGCGTCCGCGCGACTAAACTTCAGCCTCGTTGTTACCGCCGCAGTTAGATCATGCGCTTTTAGATCGCGCGGCTCTGCGTACGTTTCGACGGTGCGACAAAAATTCTGATAAAATTCAATCGCGTATTATGCGAACGAATTACCAAATTAACGAAAGCAAAATTTCGTAAAAACTACGCGCGAATAGAGTTGTCCCTTTGGTTTTAAAATATTTAAACGTTTTTGAAATTTTATACTGGTCTTTCACAATTCAAGATATAATTATATTATATTACGTATATACGCAGTTGTTTAATCTGTAAAATTAACATCTGCTCTTTCCCTTAAAAGTCCAAAGATATGCATTCCGTGACCACGTATCCGATTTGGCAGAATATATGGGCCGGTTTCACCATCTCCGATTAAATTTCAGTGTTCCATTGGAACTGACCAATCGCATTTCGCATCTCGTAAGCAGAATTGACCAAAATTAACCGACACTTAGTCAGCCGATTTAATTAATAGGAGATGGTGAAACCGGCTCGAAGTATAAAAATATTAAATACTAATCTTGTTGGAAACTTTACTTTTGGATTATCCTTCAGAACTCCGTCGTTCATTTCGATGTAAAGATCTATGTATGACACATCGTAAAAACATTGTCACATCTTAAACGTAGGCTTTTCTTTTGTACACGTAACGTTAACATTTAAAATTCTATAATACACTGAAGATGACCTGATTATAGGTCGAGACGTATTATTATAAATATTATACAAGTCTTTAACAAGTCTGGTTCGTTAGCTCATTTTATTTTATATTATCCCACTTTTACGATATATTAGTTTGTTTGAATACTAATCTTTTTCCAAAAATTGTATTTTAAAAATCGTAAAAGATTACATCGCGTGTTATAAAAATATACTTTAAACCGGCGGCGTACTCTCTTGATTATTCTCGAAGCTTATCATGCAGCTATCTACGCTAGGTTTTATTAAGCGACACTTACCTTCCGCTGCTAAGGAGAAATCTGCTGGACCTACGACGAGAGCTGCGTTTAAAGATGGCACCGCTAAACACGAGGTAGTTGCAGCTGATCCAAGATGTCTGCCGCGGCGTTGGCACGTCGCGTTTTCGGTCAACAAATATCTAATTTCGTCGGTTTCGCGGCCCCGGTGTTGTCTCAGGCGCCAAGAAGGTACAAGTGGAAGCTCGTGAAGCTGCCGGAACCGGGCACCGGCATAGCTTTCCGAAGAATCATCCATTTCAAGGACGAGTACACAGTGCAGCCGTTGCAGGTTACGAATCTAGCAGGCAGGGATCCTGTCACAGGTACTGTGAGCTGATACCGTTACTCCATAATTATCTTTCTTTTTAGATTGTACATATTGTAGTATCTTACTTTTACTAGTCTTCTTTCCAAATTAATGAAGATTCAACTTATTCGACGCATGTGCGCGTAGATCAAGCTCTTTAAAAACAAGCCCGACCTCTACTGAGAAAAGTAGAAGATTACTGTGAGACAATGCAGATAACTGACGTATCGACTTGGGTCAGACGCAATTTATCTTGTTGAGAAAAATGAGCATTGTACCGATATAAAATATCTGTAGGATATAATTTTTATTAGTTTGTTTTATAAGACTTATAGTATAATATAGTCATTACTTTGGTGAATATTTTTCTCAGAATTTTTATACGAATTGGTATACTTTTCAGAAATACTGAGAAAGCCCACTTTTCTTAGAATTTTTCGTATAGAGGTAAGTCCTCTATTAGGAGATAGGTTTCTAATATGAGATAGCAGGTTTTCAACACTCAAATTCAATCACAAATCTTTTTTCGCAACGATTGCACAATTTAACAATGAATTTTTCACTAAACAGCCTTCGCTCCAAGGGCAATAAATTCATGGTGGAATCAACTGATGATGCCTGTTAATTTAACAGAAACCCCGCTATCCCATATTAGGATCCTATCTCACGTAAATATTCTGGGATATAAATGTTTGAAATTATAAGATAAGAAATTTCAGAATATTTCAGAATTCATACATATGAAAAGTTCTAGAAGAGATATTTTCTTGGTACTTCTGTTCCAATTTGTACAAAAGATCTGAAAACTTTAGTAAAAAAAATTATAAAATTATTGAACAAATCTTAAAAATTCGGAAGTTTACGTAAAAATTATGAAAATTTCGAGACAAATTTTCAACACGGTAGATAAAATGTATAGTTACTATTGATGAAACAGGCATTCGTATGATAGACAATTGCTACGTTAGAAGAGAATAACTTTTGAATTCAAATTAATCTTCAGAAAGTATATCGCTTTTGAATACGAATTTCGTATTGAAGAATCTAACTATAAGTGAAATGGAACCGCTATTGGGAATATAAATCGTTTTTGTATCACTGAAACAGGCAGAGTAGTAGCCAAGGGTATCGGGGGTGGCATAAAGCACAAGTATCATTGGATCAATTGGTTCAGGGATGGACCGAAGGACCTTAACGAACCGCCAAAGGAAGAGAAAGTCCTAGAGGTCTTTAAAGACGGCTGTAGAACGAGTTTAGTCGCGCTAGTCGGCAGCGGTCGGGAACTCAAGTACATTTTAGCTACGGAGAACATGAAGCCGGGCAACATAATACGTACTCACCATGGAATACCGCGTCATACTGTGAGAGCCTTGGAAGGGGACGCCTATCCTCTCGGTGCCTTACCCATAGGAACCCCCGTTCATTGCGTAGAGAAATATCCGGGCGTGGGTGGGTTCCTGATTCACGCTGCTGGTACCCTCGGAACAATAATCAAGCGAGACGGGGATCGCGTGGTAGTACAAATGCCCAGCAAGAAGCCTTTTAGCCTCCACGAGACGTGCATGGCTACGGTTGGACGCTTATCGAATGTCGAGCACAGTTCCACGCCAGTTGGTAGCGCGGGGAAGAATCGGGAATTAGGAAATCGGCCGAGGAGCGGTCTGTGGCAACGTAAAACTGGCAGATTCGGCCGTAAAATCAGACCGCCTCCTCGCGTACAGCGTGTCGGTGATGTACAAAAGGCAACGCCCGAAGTGATTACTCTGAATACCCACAATAATTAGACTATATAGGTTAAGATATATAATAAACGCTCGTTTCAAACACTCAACTTTGAATTTTATTGTCTTCGTTGCCCCCTTCTTCACTCAACAAGGAAAAACATTTAGAGATCGTTTAAATTCTAACGATAAGATATTTGTCGTACGTACACAGGCCAGAGAGGAAAAGATATGTATGCGTTTGTTTGGACGTACATAGCTAAGAGACTCGGTTCCGAATCGTAAGCCAGGATATCTACTATCTTGTAAACTCCCTTCCCAGAGGGAGGCCCGGGTATCCATAAAGGATTTCCACACGTAAAAAAAAAAGGATATCTACTATCTGGAAAAATCGGGAAAATCTAATAGCGAATTCGGCAGCTTGCACTGATTGCGCACTAAGGCTTGTTTACGGTCATTTCTTATATTTAAGGATCGTCTTAAATATTGTTTAAAATACTCCTTAGCCAGTAAAGTGATTTGTATAGCATTCGTACACTGATAAAAAAATATGTAGTATTTGAAGCTATAATTGCACAGTAAAATAATTATAGTCAGGAATATCATTTTTATAGTAATTATTACTATAAAATTAGTCGTATAGACACAGTGATGCCAACTACTTAAAAAATTTACTGTAAAATTTAAGCTTTATAATATAGTTTTATAACTATAATACATTGTTAGGTCAACCATAACTTACGTAGTTGGAAGAATTATAAAAATGCGATTGGCTTTTAAAATGACTATAAATTATAGTGAGATTGTGGTAACTGCAACCATTTTTTTTCTATCAGTGTACGGATTATTTTTTCCTGGCTAAATAACTTTTGGACATGTACTTGAGATAAATATAAAAGTAGATTCTGAACGAGCCTTGGTGTACACTGAGTGCGCACTAATGCAAACTGCTGAATTCGCTATAAAATTCTCAGGGATGTTTTTCGTTGAGATATTTCGGGATTCAGAAATTTTTAGTATAAACAGTTTTTTAAAATTTGTATTAAAATTTGAACGAAATTCCGGGAATTGTTGGGGAATGTTTTTCAAGATTTGAATAGACACCCTGACACGATCGTTTCTGTAAATTGCCATCTCGCAATCATGAATATTGATTATTGAAGTGTAAGTACCAACAAGAACGAATTGCTTACGCAATCGTTAGAAGTCCGCGATAATAACACGTGCTATCGAATATTCTGTGGCGGGAATGTCTCGTGTATACCTGAGTTTCAAAAACAGGCTATATCCTTAGATCGGTAAAACTATTAAGGTACCGCGCGATATAGGCTCTGTTCTTTATAGCTGAACTGGCTGCACTAGTTCCGAGTTTATCTTTCTTCTTCTAATGTGGAGGGAAATAGATAAACTCTGGACTAGTGCGGCTAGCTCAGCTATAAAAAAACAGCCCCATAATCCCCGTCGTTTACAGGCCCTTATTGTAGTACACAATCTCCAGGCCGGTATCGTGCGATCGTACTTGCTCTCGTACGTCGGGTTCCAGTTGATTTACCGAGATAGGGACGCGTTGTGCGAAAATTGCACAGCAAAGTGGCGTTGCGAAAGCGAGACACACTCCGCAAATGGCAACTTGGATTGGTCCAGCTGCCCATTTCGCGTTACGTAACAGCTGCCTTCGATCTAAGTAAGTCATTACTATCGGCGCCAATACTGCAACAATGAAATAAAATTACAAGGGGGCGAAACTTATTTGGAAAACAATTGGAATTATTTAAATACCCGATATGATAATAACACAGCTATTTACAAGTGTAATTTTTCTTTCGAATAATATGCATATCAAAATAGAAGTCTGAAAAAGACTGAATTTTATTAAAGTTAGCGTAATCGGCTCAGCGACAAATTCACTGACTCGTCAACGAATTCAGCAACAAAATTACGAACTAAGTAAGAGACTTGATTAATGAATAAGTGCAACGAAACCTACTCATGCTCGGAGAGGCCATAAGTATTCGTGATAACGTAACCGTCGCGATCGCCTGTTTAGCCGCTCGTTTACTGTGGCCAACTTTCGTGCCGTCCTCGGTTTGTAATTCAATACCATTTTGGAGCTCGGTGACCCTCATGAGAGGGATGTTCACACAGTTAGCCGCCGCAACTGCCGCCAATGGGACTAATCGGCCTGCCAGCGGTGGTCCACGTTGAGCGAGACGGTTCAGGGTCAGCGCCGTTATCACGGCGCCTCCCGTAGCGCCGACGTAACTCCGCGCCAACGTTTCCGTTGGAATCGGGCTCGAACCGCTACGGTTCGTGTAATTCACTATAGCGTTGAACGACTGATTGACCCATTGCCAGAAAATTACAGCCGGCGTTGACCTACGAGATTTGCAAATAATGCATCGCGATATAACGCGGTCTTCTAACAACTGTTACGGGAACATCTAATCGGCAATCTCTTTAACGACATCTTAAATGACATCAATTTTCCACGTTTCTCGAATCTTTCGACGACTCGAAACTTGGCGTTACCCGAGATTGAGAAATAATCGTGTTTGAGCAATCGTTTGTTTATTTGCTTTTGTTCGAGATTTTCACCGTATCGAGGAGTGTGAAAGTCAAGCGGTACCACAGACAGGCAGGAATGCCGCCAATCATAGAAATGCCCGGGCACAGAAATGTCCTGTGCCTATCTGTTTACCAATTGTTGAAATATCACTGTATTCTAACACAGTTTAAGACCAGGCTTTTAAAGTTATGGTACTTAAACTTGCGTACTTATCGCACGTTATCGCCAAGTTTTTGTGCGCCGGCAGTTCCAATTACGTACCTATAAAATGTCATCATACAACCGGTTATTGTCATGTTCATAGGAACTTGCGCGCTCATACGCCCTATTAAGGGCATTTTCTCGCCGGTATCAGGGTGGTAGGCGCTGTCGTAAAGATATTTGCATCTCCATAACTCGTCCTCGGCGATTCCTTGTTTCTCCAGGCCCTCGCCCTGTCTGCGGCGACATCAAGATTGCACACGAATTGTTATTTCGTACTTGTACAAATAAAAAAAATATATATAGTCATATTAACATAGGAATGTAAAGGGTTTGGGTACGCTCCCTTTAAAAGCGCCACTTTTGCCCGAAAGGGGAATAAAGTGACTACTACTACTACTACTGGTCATATTAACATAAAAGCAGAAAATATTTTATAAGAGACAAGGATTTAGAAATGGTAAATTAACGAGGATACACGGCTTGCGTAAGACGAAATTGTTCGATTATTCCTCGATGAAGCTAACGCGTGATAAGTAAATCGGCAGTTATCCAACTCAAGGCAATAAACAGAATACCGTGGCACATTGATACGTAATGTACGTGCACGTTCTTTACATGTGTGCGAGACACGTGACGTCACCGTGATTGATTACGCATTCCGAGTGAGCGAAAGGAAGAGAAAAACTAATTATAGCGACAACTACCTGTACTTCGTGACGACACCGCGCGCGTGCTCAAGCTGCTGGCTCGTAGCGAAGACGTTGAGCGGGTTCGTTACCGTCAAGAAGTGCAACGCCCTTCCCTGGTAAGTGCTCTGATCCCAGTACGGTTTGTCAATGTCTATTTCCTTTGCGCTACCCTGCGCTCCGATTTCCTTTCTTCCCGGCATCTCTTCCTAACGACCTTGAACCGGCTGGGCTGTACCCTCTCTTCCCCACCCACGTTCACCTGCCCGTTCCCACTTGACCGTCGCGACGACGTGTTAGCGAATCGTCGTCGTTTTCTCGTCGCACCTGCTGGGAGCCCGACAGCCTCCAGAG